TTCTTTTTTAATTGTAAAATATTTTTATTTTATTTTATTTTTAAATCTTTATTGTTGAATGTAGAATGTATTACAGATGTTCCTCATTTTTCCCCCATTGACCCCCTCCTCCCCACTCCTGCCCCCCTCCTGCCTTTTCCCACACTATTGTCTGTGTCCATTGCTTATGCATATAAGTTCTTTGGTTTATTTCTTCCCACCCCCCAACCCCTTTCCCTTTGAGGTTTGTCAGTCTAGCAATGAATTTCTACTTCGTCATCCCTTCACCTTTTTCACCTATTCTCCCAACCCCTCCATCTGGCAACCAACAAAATGTTCTCTGTATCTTTGAGAATGTTTCTGATCTACCTGTTCATTTTGTTTGTAGATTCCATTGTTGATAGATATGTATTCATTGCCATTTTGTTTGTTCATATATTTTATCTTTTTCTTCAAAAAGACCCTTCATCATTTCATATAATAACCATTTGGTGGTGATGAACTCCTCTACCTTTTTCTTGTCTGGGAAAGTCTTTATATGGCCATCGATTCTAAATGACAGCTTTGCAGGATAGAGTAATCTTGGTTGTAGGTTCTTGCTTTTCATCACTCTGAATATTTCTTGCCACTCCCTTCTGGCCTGCAAAGTTTCTTTTGAGAAATCAGCTGACAGCCTTATGGGAACTCCCTTGTAAGTAACTAGCTGCCTTTCTCTTGCTGCTTTTAAGATTCTGTCTTGAAACTTTTGCATTTTGATGATGATGTGTCTTGGTGTGGGCCTCTTGGGGTTCACCTTGTTTGGGACTCTCTGTGCTTCCTGGACATGTATGTCTGTTTCCTTCACCAAGTCAGGAAAGTTTTCTGCCATTATTGTTTCAAACAGGTTTCGATTTCTTGTTCTCTCTCTTCCCCTTCTGGCACCCCCAAGATGCGAATGTTGGCATGCTTGAAGTTATCCCAGAGGCTCCTTACACTGTCCTCATTTTTTTGGATTCTTTTTTCTTTTTGCTGTTCTGATTGGGCACTTTTTGCTTCCTTATATTCCAAATCGATGGTTTGCTTCTTGGATTTACGTACTCTACCTTTGAATCTGTGTAAATTATTCTTTATTTCAGTTAATGCCTCCTTCATTTCTGACTGTGCATCCATCATTTCAGACTGGTCCTTTTTATGCTCTTGAGGCCCTCCCTAAGTTCACTGAGGTTCTCACTGAGTTCATTGAGTATCCTTATAAGCAGTATTTTGAACTCAGCATCTGTTAGGTTGCTTATCTCCATTTCGCTTAGTTCTTTTCTTGGGGTTTTGTTCTGTTCTTTCCTTTGGGACCTGTTTCTTTGTCTCCTCATTTTGGCTGCCTCCCTGTGTTTGTTTCTGTGTATTATTTAACGAGCAGTATGGGGTTAGCTGAGACCAAATGCTGCTCATTTGAAAGAATTTAGGAAAAACCTGAAGCAGGATCCAAGACAGGCCAATCCTATGGTTAAGCAACTGGCAACAGCTTGGGTGGGCCTGAAAGTTGGGTGGGGCGGGGCCTCAGGGAATCACCAGGGTGGGGCTACCAGTGTGAGCCAGGTTGCTGGAGTCCCAGATATGGCTTCTGTCTGCCGCCCCAGGGAAGGGCTCACCAAAGGAACAAAGGCCTCTGACAGCATGTTTGTCCCACAGAAAGCCCCCTCTCCAGCCCTCGCTCCCGAACAGCTCAGTTCTTCCCTGTGTGTCTCTGGCGCCCCTCGAGCTGCCTCCCCTCCAAGCTTAGAGGGAGAGAGTCCGGTAAGTCCGTGCGCGGGCCCTTTAAGGAGCTGCCTGGGGCTCCAGCCATGTCAGCTTCCCTGAGCCTCAGTTCCTGCTGGTTTTCCAGCCAGAAGTTATGGGGATTCTCTTCCTGGCACCGGAACCCTGAGCGGGGCACCTGGTGTGGGACAGGACCCCCCCCCCCCCCAGTCCTCAGGAAGGACCTTCCCAGCCGAGGTGTCCTCCTGATTTTTATCCACCACACATGGGTGTGGGACCAGCCCATCGCTCCGCCTCCGCCCCTCGGGCCTCCGCCCCTCCTACCTGTCTGGATGTGGCTGCTGCTTTAATTCCGTAGTTGTAGGATTTCCATTCAGCTTGATTTCAGGTGGTTTTGCATGATGTGTTCTGTAGTTTCGTTGTAACTTTGATGTGGAGGACGCGATACCGCATTTACCTACGCCGCCATCTTGACCAGAAGTCTCTTTTTTCACTAATCCCAACCTCTTCCCTTTGGCAACCATCAGTTTGTTCTCTATGAGTCTGTTTCTGTTTTATTTTGTTTATTCATTATGTGTTCCTGTGTACTTTGTAGAATTAGTGTGGAAGCATTTCTTCCTTTTCCATTTTTTGGGGACAGTTTAAGGAGGATAGATATGCATTCTTTGAATGTTTGGTAGAATTCACCTGTGGAGCCATTTCTGATCCTGGAGTTTTATTTGTTGGGAGCTTTTTTATTGCTGTTTCTATTTCATTTCTAGGCATTGGTTTCTAGATATTCTGTTTCTTCCTGATTCAATCTTGAAAGGTTATATTCATCTAGAAATTTATTCATTTCTTCTAGATAGTTGAATTTGTTGGCATGTTTGTAGTATTCTTTAATGATTTCTTGTATTCTGTGGTGTCAATTGTAACTTCTCTTTCATTTATATTTATATGGACTCTCTTTTTTTCTTAATGAGTTTGGCTCAAGTTTTGTCAATTTGATTTATCTTTTCAAAGAACCAGCTTTTAGTTTTATTGATCTTGTCTATTTTTTAATTTCTATTTCATTTATTTCCACTCTGGTCTTAATTATTTCCTTTTCTGTTTATTTTGCATTTTATTTGTTCTTCTTTATCTAGTTCCTTTAGGTGAATAGTTAGATTGTTTGAGATTTTTCTTGTTTCTTGTGTATTGATTCTGGGGCCATGAGATTCTGGTGCAGGCCAAGGTAAGCCACTGCCTGTGCCCAGCCTGGAGCCAGCTGGTAATACAAAGTGATCTGCAGATTGCACTTGGCTTGGAGGTGCCTGGGAGAGGCTACACTGTGAACTGTGTCTGGCTGCCATTAGAGCCAGGCTTGTGGCCACTTAGCAATAGGTATGGGGCATGCCAAGACCAGATGTTGCTTCTTAGGGATTTGTGAAGTAGTGTATTTTCTCAGGCTTTGTTACCTGGGAATGTTTTTCTTTCAGTTTCGCTTTTGAAGGATAAACTTTCTGCATATAGGATTCTTAGATGGCAATGGGTGTTTGTTGTTGTTTAGGACTTTGACAATGTCACTCCACTGTCTTCTTCCTCCATTGCTTCTGAGAAGTTAATTGCATTGTTTCCCTGAATCATTTTTCCTTGCTGCTTTCAAGATTTTGTCGGTCAGGTTTTACTATGATGTGTTTAGGTGTGGACTGCTTTTAATTTATCCTACTTGGAATTCATTGAGACTCTTAGATCTATGAATTAATGATATTTATCAAAGTTGAAAGTTCTTGGCCGTTATTTTTTTTTTCAAATATTTCTTCTGTCCCTTCTCTTTTTCCGTGACTACCACTTCCCTGTTAATATGCTTGGTACTGCACACGGATCCTAAGGCTCCACTCGTTGTTCTTCAATCGTGTTTTTTTCTCTCTCTAATTGTCAGGATTGAATAATTTTTATGATCTATGTTCAGGTTCACTCATCTCAAATCTATTGGTAAGACCACTTAGTAAATATTTCATTCAACTCATTGCATTTTTCAACTCTAGAATTTCCATTTGGTTGGTGGTTATATTTTTCATTGTCTTCATTAAGATTCCTTGTTTTTGTTGTTGTTTTGCTTCAATCTTTAATCATAATTTTCTTTAGTTCTCTGAGCATATCTGCTTTGAAACCTTTATCTGCTAAGTCCAACATCTGAGTTCATTTAAAGACAGCTTCCATTAACTGCTTTCCCTAAATATTAGTTATGTTAGTTATATTTAGGGAAAGTATAAGGTGTATGTATCTACACCTCATACTTTTTTGTTGGGGGAAAAAAAACTTTAGGTAATATGTTATAGCAACTTTGGAATCTGATTTTCTCCCTGAGAGTTGCTACTGTTTTGTTTCTAGTAATTTGCCTAACTTAGTCTGTAGAATGTGTTTCCCTCCATAGTGTGAGGAAAACTGGTATCTCTACTCAGTTCTTTAACTGATATTTTTAGATAACTGTAGATTCACATGCTGTTTTAAGAAGTAATACAGAGAGATGCCACAAACTTTTTACCCAGTTTTCCCCAATGGCAACATCTTGTAAACTATACTACAGTATCACGACCTGGATATTGACATTGATAGTCAAAACAGAACAATTCCATCACCACCACAATAATCCCTCTTGTTTTTTTATAGCCACGCCTACCCACCCCCTCCCAATCTTCTGCAAATTCCTAAGGAGTGTTCTCTAACTCTATAATAGTCATTTCAAAAGAGTTATATACGTGGAATCACATAGTATGCAACCACTTAAGACTGGCTTCTTTTTTTTTATCCTCACCCGAGGACATTTTTGCATTCATTTTCAGACAGAGCAGGAGGAAAGAGAGGGAGGACGAGAGAGAGAGAAACATTGATGTGAGAGAGACACATCAACTGGCTGCCACCCACACGACTCCAACCGGAGCCGGGGACAAACTGCAACCGAGGTGCATGCCCTTAGCAGGAACTGAACCCGTCTCTCTGGACCACGGGGCGACACTCTAACCGCTGAGCCAAACCAGCCAGGGCAAGACTGGCTTCTTTTACTTAGTATATGCCTTTGACATTTATCCTACTTACCACGTGTATCAATAGTTCATTTCTTTTTTATTACTGAGTAGTGTTTCACAGCATGCACTTACCACAGTGCCATAGACTGAATTTTTCTGTTGCTTCAAAATATGTTAAAACCTAATCCTATGATGGTATTTAGAGGTGGGGGTCTTTGGGAAATGACTTGGTTATGAGAGTGGGACCCTCATGAATGGGAATACTTTATAAAAGAGATTCCAAGCGCTCCCTTACCCTTTCTTCCATGTGACGTCACAGCAAAAAGATGGCTGGTCTATGAACCAGAAAGCAGGCCCTCGCCAGACATAGAATTTGTGGGAATGTAGATCTTGAACTTCCCAGTCTCCAAAACTGTGAAAAAGATACCTGTTGTTTATAGGCCATTTAGTCTATGGTCATTTGTTAGAGCCGCCCAAAAAGACTAAGACACACACTTTATTTAACCATTCACCCATTGAAGAACATCTGGGATTATTTCCAGTTTTTTGTTTTTATGAATAAAGCTACTATGAACATTCCTGCAGATTTTTTGTAAACATACATTTTTATTTCTCTGGGATAAATGCCCAGAAGTACAATTTCTGGGTAGTATGGTAACTACATGTTTGATTTTATAAGAATCTCCACACCGCTTTCCAGAATGGGTTTTCTGCTTCACAGTCCCATCAGCAATGTGTAATTCAGTTGCTCTGCGTTCTCACCCGTATCTGAAAGCTGCCACTATTTGTTATTTTAGCAAGTGCACCACCTGTCTCCCTGCCCCAGTGCCTGCCTGGGCGGAACCTAACTTCCACGAGTACCAAATGGACATCTTTGGGGCAGTAGGCAAATCAAGGACTGTCCCCTGGACAACCCTCTTTCCTCCTCCTGCAGTGCTAGGGGCAAGGCCTCAGCACCTTCTTGTGGGCCAGTCAGGCAAACCAGAGAGGCAGAGGCATAGATCATAGGCTGGTGGATTTGTCCTGTAGGGGCTGGGGGCCGACAGCTGCTCTAAGCGCCCAGGGTTGCTTGGAAGCCAAAAGCTGAGGCAGCAGGAATCTCTCAGTCTGGGGCAGAATGCATAGGCTGAATATGCTGGAGCCCTGGTTTTCAACAAGGTGATGCCACACCTAGGGGACACTTTGGAAATTTAAAGAATGCTTTTGGCCATCACAATAATAAGGGAACACTGCCTAGATGCAGAGGCCAAAACAGCCAGACTTGTCACATTTCACATGGCTTTCAGTGTCTTCTCCAACATTCATGTAGAGGTGGACAATCTTCAATACCATTTGAGCCTGGAACCTAACACTACTTTGCACAAGTATTTATTACGTACACACTATTTTCTAGAAATGCAACTCGAGGGAAGAGTGTATTTCGTTTTGTTGGGAAACAACAGAAATCACATCTCTAGCAGCCCGGTCGCCCGAGTCTGAGTGGCCCATTCGACACCTCACCTGTCACACTGCGTGTAGAGCCATCCCCTTCACAGCAATCCTCTACTAGCAGGTACAAGCATCTAACCCAGTCGTCACCACTTCAGGGTAGTTGTGTCCAGGCTTTATTTACTGAAATACATGCGTTTATTATGTTGCTTTCCTTTTATTCTTTATTTTTCAGTTAGTCCTGTATTTTCCTTAAATTATATATTGGTAGATGATGTTATCTCTCTTTTCAGGATAGTAGAATGTATAAAAAGAGGAGGGTGAGAGAGTAAGTTTGAGCTCAAGGAGCTAGAGCAGGCCAAGGTATCGCTGATGCCGTTTGTGACTTCGATTCTGCTCTTCTATGTGCTGCTCACTGGTGGCTGGCAGCTGCCGCAGCACTAGTGGCACCTGGGAAGTCCTGAAGCAGGAAAGCAGCCAGAGGAAAAGGGAGGGTCCCATTCCAGGTAGCAGACTACCAAAAGTGCCCATCATGTGTGCCCAAATGGGAACCCCTGGGCTGAAAAGAGATGCATTACCCAGCTTCTCCACGTGTGTGGCCTGTGCACCGGTCATGTGGTCATGGACATGGTACGACATAGACGTCAAGATCTGGTTGAAGGACAAGGACAAGAGGATCAAGAGTCAGGCACCTCTGAGAGGGATTTCCAGATCTAGCGTGCGATCTGAGAGCCAGGCTGGTGATGAAGGGGCCGAGGAGTAAAACTGTTGGATGAAGAAAGCATTTAAAGACACAAAGGTTTTGCCCGGCAGGTGTTGCTCAGTGGTTGAGCATCGACCCATGCATTAAGAGGTCACTGGTTCGCCCTGGCCGGTTTGGCTCAGCGGTTAAAGCGTCGACCTGCGGTCCTGAGAGACCCGGGTTCGGTTCCCGCTAAGGGCGCGTACCTCGGTTGCAGTTTGTCCCCGGCCCTGCTCGGTCGTGCGGGTGGCAGCCGCTCGATGTGTTCCTTTCACATCGATGTTTCTCTCTCTCTCTCTGTTCCTCTCTCTCCCTCCCATTCTACCTGAACAAAAATTGGGAAAGTGTCCTCGGGTGAGGATTTAAAAAAAAAAGAGGTCACTGGTTCGATTCCAATCAGGGCACATGCCCAGGTTGTGGGCCATATCCCCAGTGGGGGGCATGCAGGAGGCGGCCAGTCGATGTCCTCTCTCATTGATGTTTCTATCTCTCTCTCCCCCTTTCCCTCTCTCTAAAATCAATAAAGAAAAATTTAAAAATAAATAAATAAAGACACAAAGGTTTTAACTAGGAGTATCTTTTTGTTGTTGTTGTTAGCTTTTGATGAATGGCTTCTTCATCTTTTAAATGAAGGTCTGGCCAACGCGATTTCAAGATGTCAGGCTCCAATTTGGATATTGGAGAGATTGTAACTTGCTCAAAATGACACAACTAATTACAGCTAGACTCTTGGAGTTTAAACTCAGAAATCTCTCAGCTGTCAGTAAGGACTCTCGTAAACTAACTATATCAGTGATTTTGAAGTTGCAGGCTGCCTGCCTTTAGTTGGCCATGCAATCAGTTTAGATGTCAAGCCCAGTTTAATTAAGAAGAAAAGACTAAAACTTCAGAATATGTGTTCATCATACGCAGAGCGATTATCATTTCATGAAGTTTATATAAACATCCTTTCAGGCATCATTTCTCACACACTCAACGAATGCTGTGAATCCATGGCATAGGCAGCACCACTGTTAATGGAAGACTAAAGTGGGAGGAGATTCAGTTAGTTCTCATCTACCCGAAGGTAACCAAAGGTGACCAACTAGCCTCACTTGTGGACACCTCCCCTCGCTCGCCGCTCCATTATAGTAAACATTGCAGAGTGCCAGACAGTGCTCTAGCACTTTGCTGAATCCACACCGCATTCAAGTGGGCACTACTACCCTTATTTTACAGATGAAGCACCTGTGGCAGAGAGGTTAAGCCACTTGACCAAAGTTGCATGGCCTGCAGGAGTCGGAGTGGGGCTCATACCTGCAGTGCTGCGCTTCCTAGACCAAATGGTGTGGTACAGCATCTCCCTGTACAGCCCCCCAGAGGCCACCCCTATGGGGCCACTCTGGCAGCATCTTGGAAGAATCATGACCTCAGGTGGGAGATAAGTCCTTACAGGACTCCCATTCCTAACACAAAGCCAGGGCCTCTGGAGTTCAGCCTCTGCACCAGGGCCACAGCCTTCCCTTCTGCATGGAATGCCCAGTCCAGAATTCCCCTCTGGATGTGCCTTCAAATTGCATCTCTTCCAAGATGCCTTCTGCAATCACCCTAATGGAGGCATCTCGGCTATCATTCTCTCTCCTGGTAACTCTCATCACTAATGGCCAATAGATTATATACTGAGTGAGCAACAGTTTAAAGGAAAGGGGCTGAATAATGTCAAAGGCAAAACTCAAAACCCTTTTCTCCCCTTAGACTTTAACACAAATGACCTGCCAAGTATTCTTGCAATGGTCCATCTACTCTACTTCACCCATCAACAACTAGCATGGTACATACAAGTTTGGGGTCTTCAGAGGTGAAAAAAAGGCTCTCACAGATGGGCAAAGAAAAGTTTCTTCAAGGCAGTAAGTTCACAATGAGCTTGACTGGACTCCAAAGTGTGCCTCTGGTCTGTGCATTCCTTCTGTTTTTTCTGAACTCCTTGCTTATCTGTGTGTCTGAGGAACTCCAAGCACAGTGTGCTCACCAGGAAAATGAAACCATGTTAAAACTCTCCAGGAAAATGAAACCATTTTAAAACATCTCTAACTTGACTTGAGGAATAAGTGTCACATTTTACATAGACTGTGCAGAAGAAAGATGTGAGCTCTTATTCTCTAAAGGCTCTGCACTGTGGAGGCGAAATAGCACACTCATCTGAGTACAGGGGAGAGCAGCGAATGCACCGAGAGCTGTGAGGATAATGTTGGACCCATTAGTGAGAAGGCAGGAAAAGGTGAAGCAGTAGAAACAAAAGAGCCCGTGGGGGTGTCCTGTTCCTCAACACTGTGCAGCCCCTCAGAGTGCCTTGAGACTGACCTCTGCAGCTGTGGCACTTGCTGGGGAATGAGGGAAGGTCCACAGAGCCCTGCCCATTGATAATTACTGAACATGACCTTCCTTTACAAATAACTCTACAGCCCTGGCTGATTTGGCTGAGCAGTTAAGAGTGTTGGCTTGCTCTGGCCGGTTTGGCTCAGCGGTTAGAGTCGGCCTGCGGTCCAGAGAGACCTGGGTTCAGTTCCCGCTAAGAGCATGTACCTCGGTTGCATTTTGTCCCCACGTCGATGTTTCTCTCTCTCTTCCTCTCTCTCCCTCCCACTCTATCTGAAAAAAAAAAAAAAAAAAAAAAAAGTCCTAGGGTGAGGATAAAAAAAAAAAATCAATAAAAAAGAGTGCTGGCTTGTACACCGAAAGGTTGTGGGTTTGATTCTCAGTCAAGGGCACGTACCTAGGCTGCATGTTCGATCCTCGGCCCCAGTTAGGTCGTGCAGGAGGCAACCAGTCAACGCCAAATGATGTGTCTCTCTCACATCAATGTTTCTCTCTTTCTCCCTCCCTTCCTCCTTCTACTCTGTCTAGAAATCAATGGAAAAATACCTTCTGGCGAGGATTAACAACAACAACAAAAAACAAATGACTCTACAAATAAGTGCAGAGGATGCAGTGTCCTGGCAAAGAACGTCCAGCACAAGCAGGAGCTCTGTAACAGGAGAAGGCAGAGACAGCAAGGAGTCTGCTTCTGTAACTCAGGCCAGGCACACACGAAGGTCTATGTAACTGAGAAGGGCGACTTTACACTCCCACACCTATTCAAACGTTCCCTACTGGCCTGTATCACTTACTTCTTCTGCACAGGATCTGGGTCAGGTCTACGAGCACCAGTTGGTCCAACACTGAAAGAGGTTTCATGCTCTTAGGGAGAGGACTGTGTGCTTGGTGAGGCCAGTTCAGCAGTAAACAATGCCCACTCCTCTTCTGATGATAGGTGACACTTTGAAAGAACTACTTGCAAAAAAACCCTCAATTACTTATCTCATATGTTCTTCCCTAGAAAACAGCCCTCACACAGGAGGAAACAGAAACACAACAAATAAATTCAGACGTTTTATTCAGTAAAGCACGTATGCACACAATTCAAACATGGAAAATTAATCTGGGAGTGAATGCCATAACAGATCAGCTACTGACCATCATGCAGCAAGAGAAGTGAAATGGATCCACTGGCCCTCATAACCCCACAGTGCCTGCAGGAGGGTTGAAAAACCAGGATGCTAATCCCTACAGACTGCCAAAGAAAACACAACAGAAATGGCAGGTTCCTAATGATGAGAAAAACACGAATAGAATCAAAACTGATTCAAGTCATACAGTGAAAGGACAAAAGGAAAAAGGAAAGAGATCAATATGATCTGAAACAACCACTTTAATAGTAAGTTGCTGACCTTTTATTGGACCTCCAGTCCAAGATGCCTGAGGACGAGCCAGTGCTCCTGTGTGGGGTCACCCTGAATGGCAAACGGGCCCTGCCTATGACACTCTTCTAATCCTAAGTGCCCCAAGCAAGACAGGCAGAGGATCAGGCATTGTCTGCAAGTGCCCCCACAACAACAGGTCCCCTGGACTTGCTGAGACCCAGGGGAAGTCTCTTCACTTACTAGACCCCTTCACCCAGCCAGGTACACGGCTTCCACTCCGCCCAGCCTTCCTTTGTACATCTGACTGACTCTAGGTTTCCAATAGATCTTTGAGAATTACCTTCAAGGGTAAATGCCAGATTTTAAAGTGTGTGTCCTGGCCTCGTGACAAGTCATACTATCCAGGCATTTTTGGCACTTCCTTTCCTCACACCTAACAGTGTCCTTCCTCCCTTGGCTACAGATTCCAGCCATTCCCTATAATTCAAATAAGGGTGATTAATATTAGCAACAAGCTGGAATGAATAAACCAGTGAAACTGACTTTTTCCACCTGTCTTTCTCCTTTTATATTACTCTGCCGGTTATAAATCTATCCCTAAAACTCCATTCATTGGAATTTTATTAATTCAGTAGCAGCTTAACCTAAAATCTGTTGGTTTTAATGATACTGCTGTTTCCAGAGGCCCAGCCAAAGGCTCTTTCTCAATCTTATTTCATAAGAGCCGCAAAGGCTCCAAACAGAAAACTAAACTAACAGGTTAGCCATGCATCATGTAAGCAACTCATGTCATACAAATAACTGGGTAGGCAAGTACAATTATTGTGCTTAAAATGTACTGAAAGGAAAAAATATATATTAACATATCAAGTTACTACAGTGATTATTTTAACAATCTTTAGTAAAAGCCCACAACTGTTTTCTATTCAAGAATGCCTGGGATAAAACGCTCTAGGCCAATCTATGGTTAAGAGTACAGGACTGATTCTAACCTAGAACAGACTGTGCAGACCTGGAGTTAAAGGAGTGAAGTGCTGCCAGTCATGACCAAGGTTTTACTTGCCCTCCTGCTACAACACTGCTTGCAAGAACACAGAAGTCGCTAAGACGAGGCAAAGAGCTATTCAGAAAAACAGCAATAATACATGTAACAAAAAAGGACTAGAAAAAACACACAATGTTTTCAAATGAAGATGGATTAGAAGGAAAAAAGGGGTAAAGGAACTAGATCATCAAAATGTTATAGGAAAGAAAAATGATTTGGGTTTTCCTGATAAATGGCAAATCAGCACTGCTTTCATTCCAATTTCACAGGCATCATTTTCATAATGTTACTGATCTACTATGTGCCATTTTCCTTCTGAAGATATGTTAACTGCATAGAAATAAATGTTTAAGAAGAGGAAGAAAGAAAAATCACTCCCTGTTCAAAAAAAAAATAAAGCATCCTTCTCTCTTTCCATAGTGTAATCTGCATTCCAGAAAATACAACAGCTAATTTTCACTACTCTAGAGACATTTTTACTTAATTGTTAAGCCCTTTTGAGTGAGAAAGCTGCTTTAATTTCTACAATGGAGGGGAGGGACAGCAGAGGAGAAACGGTGGAACTTGCTGTGCCAACTCAACTCCACAAGAACAAGTTCCTCACCACCCCGGTGGAAAATGAAACTTAGATCTTTATCATGTAGGTGACTCTTAAATATTGAACTTTTTACTCAAGATTTTGAAAGCACAAGTCTGCCTTAACTAGAATAGTATTAAAATGTGACTACTTCTTTATTCCAAAAAAAAAGAAAAGAAAAAGAAAACTTAGAAAGATACGTATGTTTCCTTGCAAGCAAAACAGAGAAAAAGGTATTGTTGTTACTATGATTATAAGCCACAGACACGTAAAATCCACAAAATGGATTGGTGGCTTGGGAAATGCAATATCATGTCAAAGGTGCAGACTGTTTCGAACCAAAGCAAACCTCAACCCCACCAGCAGTGAACTGCCCCTGAGACCTTGGTAAAGACAGCATCGCCTGCCCTGGGACGGGGAGATCGGGCATCGGCGCTGGCGCTACATGGAACCATCCCACCAAGTCCACAGGGGAGGCTGCAGGGTTCAGACTGCACCCAGTGTGAAGCACGTGCATCATTGGACCAATTTCTGAACAGGTTTTTATAAATATATACAAATCAGTTACAGGCACTTGAAATGTCTTTGGCTGGAATAACCCAACATTACAAGAGAAAGTATTCATGGAGTGTCCAGGCCCAGGCTGGCGTCAGCAGGTAATGCTTACAGTGTACTCAGTCTCTCAGAAAACGGGCAGTGTGGGATTAGGCATCAGCCAAAGCCACCTAGAAGAGAGCAAGACAAGCAATCCAGTCACACACCAGAGCCCCGGGAGCCCAGCCCCACCAGCACCAACTAGGCTCGGGCCCCCATCTAAGACTAGGGAGCCACCATGGCATGCATCTGTCCAGGAGAGGAGTTATTAAAGCCCTAAGGGAAAAAAATCTCATCTAGGTGAGAATAAACAGCAATTTAAAAGTTTCTTGCCGGCCCTGGCCGATGTGGCTCAGTGGTTGAGCGTCATCCCACACACCAGGTCACCAGTTCCATTCCTGATCAGGGCACACACCCAGATTGCGGGCTCAATCCCTAGTAGGGGGCCTGCAGGAGGCAGCCAATCAATGTTTTTCTCTCATCAATGTTCTATCTCTCTCTCCCTTTCCCTTCCTCTCTCTAAAATCAATGAAAACATACTTAGAAAGAAGAAGGAAGGAAGGGAAGGGAGGGGAGGGGGAAGGGGAGGAAGGGAAGGGAGGGGGGAGGGGAGAAAGGAAAGGGAGGGGACGAAGGAAGGAAGGGAAAGAAAGGGAAGGGGAAGAGGGAAGAGGGAAGAGGGAAGAGGGAAGGGAAGGGAAGGAGGAAGGGAGGAAGGAAGGGAGGGAGGGAGGGAGGGAGGGAGGGAGGGAGGGAGGAAGGAAGGAAGGAAGGAAGGAAGGAAGGAAGGAAGGAAGGAAGGAAGGAAGGAAGGAAATCAGTCAGTCAGTCAGTCAGTCTCCGGCCAGAGCAGCTGATCCAGTGGAACCCCTGTCCTGAGGTTGAGTTAGCCATTTTCAAACCCTGACCAGCACTCTGAGAGATGATTTCTCAAGCTGAGGGGAGGCAGCCCTCCAGGGGCAGCTGCTCTCCAGTAGGGATCTGAGAGCGATTCACACAGTCGGCACTTTTTACAGCTAAGGTTTAGGTTGAAAATCTAACACCATAATTTAGGCTAAGGATAGATTTTGTCTTGGTAAAAAGAAAGGAACTAATTTCCCTGCAGGAAAGGTGCCACTCACAATCAATGCAACAAGGACTGAGACACTGTACACAGCCTTTCAGCCAACTGCTGGGCACACTCCACCCAATGCTCACCTTCTCAGAACAAAAGTCAGGACTGCTCTGCCGCAGTTTGCTGGGTCTGCCCTTGATAACCGCATAGCAAAACATTGTTATCACCATCACGAAGAGGAAGTAACTGGTGTGCATGAGATGCAAATTTATTAATGAACGGTCATCCTAAAGAGAATAAACCAGAAACATGTGCTGAGTTACTAAAAGATTGTATGCTAGATTTCTGGAAACATGGCTCATAACCTCCAGATATGCCTCAACTTTAATTCTTATACTGGAACAAGATGTTTCTCCTTTTGTCTTCTAAACTTAGAGCTGGATCTCATTTAGTAAAGATGTGGATTACTGAGACCAGCATCCCCTACCCTTTCTAGAGTAGTCCTCTGCCCTGGCTTCCGCACTCCACACTGCCTGAACACCCCCGCCCCACCGGGTCTCCTGTCCTGAAAAGGCCCCAGATACCCAAAGCCTTTAAACCTCATTCTTTCTTATGTCCTCTTCCTCTGACTGTCCTCAGGGTACATGGCTGACAGCCCAAGCCTGTGTTCCTAACCCCTTGCTATTCCCCCACCAGGAGGCCTTAGCATCACTTCTGCCCAGAGGCAGCTTCCTTCCTTCTGCCTTTTCCCTACTTTGTAAGTCCCTGCCTGAAAACATCTTTTGACCTTCCACATGTAATCAAGCACCAGGCCCTGTCGGCCATCGTGAGATCCTGGCCATGCTTCCATTCCTTTTCTTCTCCACTTCTCTAGGCCTCACATCAGCCATAGGCTCCCTCCCATTTACACAAATCAAGTGGGCAAAACAGTCTTGCTAACACACTGCTTTACAAATCCCCCTAAAGTCTAAATGCCTCAAGCAAGGCACAAAGGGCTTTCTGGAACCTGACCTCTGCCCACCATTCAACCTGATCCCCTCGGCTCACTACTGTAGGCCCCTGGCCTATCTACTTCTACAACTTGATAAAAATGAGATCTAAGGAAAGAGAAAAAAGCCAGGCAAAGGGAAATAAATCCACCTGACATATACCAACAGGAAGAAGAGGGCATTTATTTAAAAAAATCAGTGTAGTGTGTCAAAGTGGGCTCAAGTGTAAGCCAGAAGCCACACTAGCATGTTACCCAGGAGTCTAGATTACAGTGTCTTCCTCCTCTTCCCTCCTCCTTTTAAGTAACATCCTATTCAGCCCTGAGTATCTATCCAAAGGTCTCTCTCCTCCTATTTACTTTTATCTTTATGAATTCCGAACCACTTCCTGCTCATACTGACACTAACCCAGTATTCTCCTGTGAGTGGCTGTGTGCATGTATAAGACCATACAAGCACCTCCTGTAACCCCTGTGGGTTAGGCACACAACAGCTGCTCAATAAGTACCTGCTGCTGAGCAAAGCAGAAAACAAAGAACAAAAGCAGTTTTCTTAACCAAAGGGTGGCTTGTTTTTCCAAGTCTCCACCACTCCACCCAGTCTTGTAACTCAGCTGGAAATCTGAAATAGCAGGGGCCAAGCTAACCGAAGCATGTAAACACGACCTACTCCAACAGTTCCTGGACACACACACACACACACACACATACACACACACGATTGTTCTCACTTACATCTGGAACAATAACTGTAAGCTTGGGATTTAAAGCATGATAGACTTTTCCAATGGCCCCCTTATAACACCAGAAAGGATTGTAATCTTGAGCATATTTTGTGTTGGCATCTCTGGCAGTTGTGAAGATCTTGTACCAGAGCGTGGCGTTGCTGTATGTGTCCGGAACGCAGTGTGGTGGCTGTCTGCGGGGAAGACGGGGAGACAGGGAAAGACGCGCTCGGTGGCCTGAGACATTTACTGTGTCTTCCCCACAGCCCCTAGCCCAGCACTGACCACAGCCAAACGTGTGGAAAGAAGAAATAGAAGGCATACATGTTTCTTTGAGATAAATACCATGTTTTCAGTTCAGGGACATTTTTTTAAATTTAATAAGCATATAACAGTAAGAAACAGGCATTCAACATTTAGGAGTTTAGGTGTCAGATTTTTACCTTCAGATTTCAACTCATGGTCCTCTCGCATATGATGTGGCCAGAGAAGACCCTGCTCCTTTTACACCCATTTTCTCAAACTGTCTCAATTCTTAGTCACAACAGGAAGTTTGACATATAAACTTCTCTATCAGATATTACAACCAACAGCAAATAATGTTTGACTTAGTGATCTTGTTCCACAAACCTCCAAATGTCTAAAATTGATAAATGCTGGATTAAGTATTTAACTAATTATTCCTATTGAAAAAGGATTCACCGTGTGTTTTTTTAAATAGGCTATATCTTATGTATTTTGTCTTATGTATATATCTTATTTAAAGATCATTATCTCCTTTACAGAAAGAGGAGGCAAAAAAAAACGTAAAGGCAGCCCTGGCAGGTTTGGTTCAGTGGTTAGAGTGTCGGCCTGTGGACTAAAGGGTCACGGGTTCGATTCCTAGTCAAGGGCACATACCTGGGTTGCAGGTTCAATCCTCGGCCCCCGTCGAGGTTGTGTGGGAGGCAACCAATTGATGCATCTTTCTCACATTGATGTTCCTCTCTCTCTCTCTCTTCCTCCCTTACACTCTATGGGAAAATATATCCTCAAGTGAGGATTAACAACCAACAACAAAAAAAACGTAAAGGCAAAGCGGTAATACTGACAGCTGCTCAAAATATGTGAACCAAAAGTTCCAGAAATAGTCTGTTTCATGGAAAATAATGTTTGAGTTATGCTCTCAATTTAAAAAATAACTCTTTCGGGATCATGGACATGAACAGAACCTTTCTCTTTTGGGAGCCTTAATTATGGGTCATTCTTGTCATGGGATCCACTCTGTGACGTGCTTCTTCCAGAAAAAGGAAAGGCAGCCTAAGAACAGGCAACAATGACCAACCTTGCTGAGGAACGAACTCTCTGCTATTTACAAGCAGAAGTTCTCCCTCAGAATTCCAAAGTAAACGTAAAGAATTCCTTAGGTCCAGGTAAAGGGATGCAATGCAAGCTGTCCTGAGAATTTACTGCTGAAGCATCCCAGTCACATTCATGGTCTGTGGAGCTTCTCTCACACACCCATGGGCTCAGGAAACCACTTACACTGTGACGGGGAACACACCAGGGTTGGCTGTGAGGGTCATGCAGGCCGTGAACACCACCTGCTCACAGTGACCATGAAGGGCACAGTCGTCCGAGCTCCAAGCTGCTGGCAGGGTAAAGGTAATGTTTATCTCTTCATGGGCTTCCCTGCCTATGGAAGAAAAATCAGTGTTGTTTTTTCTTTTTATGGTAAAGAAAGGCAAGAATCCACATTACTCTCTGGTATTTGAATGAACCCTGAAATCAAACCCACCCAGGAATCACCTTTCAGCCCACAGAAGCAAGAATCCTGCCTCTGTGGGATTTCAGGAACACCACAAGTCCTAAGCTGGACTCTGAGGCCTGCTCACCTGGCAGAGCCACCAAAAGGCAAGTGGAGAGGGGCCACTTAAAGCCAGGCCTGGGGATGCCAAGCAAGAGCCCAGGCAGTGCCCTAGTTGGAAAGCTGGGGGCTGGGTGAGTTATTATCACCACGGTTTTAGCATTTGCACAGCATCTTTCCATTTTGAAACTGCTTATATATTCATTACTTCACTTGAAATGTACCACTATCCGTGACATGACCAAAGGAGTGATGCTGACCCCCTTTTACATATGAGCAGACTGAGGATCAGAGGGTCTAACAGACGTAAGTAAGGTCATGGGACCAGAGGAAGCTTAAATGAAAACAAGGTATTCAAAGACCACAGCAGAAGAGAAAGGTCTACTCATAACATGGAAAACCCAGAAGTTGCTCTTACCTTTTTCTATGGGAGCAGCTCTCACCTGTAACAACCAATAAGAGGCTGGCAGGAATTCCCAAGTTCTTTAGGGACTTTAAAAGGCTCTTGGTAACCAAAGATTATTCTTCCAAGGCCCAGGCCTCTAGCATGCAGCCTTTCCTGACTAGTCCAGCTCCCTGCTCTCTCACCTTGTCCTGGGGTTGGTACTGGTGACAGGCAGGGCTATGCTCAATGTTTTATAGGTGCTTCTTTTTATTATTTAACAAGCCCTTATATAGCATTTGCTTTGTGCTAAGAACTACTGTAAGTGCTTGATAAATATTAACTCATATTATCTTTGCCTCACCCATAACTCCAAAATGCCAGATCTTAGGCTTATGCTAGTCCTGGTTCCAGCAGCCAGCACAGTGCTGAGCTAATGGTGGACATTCAAAAATTTGTAGACTAACAGAAATATTTACAGTATGTACTGCCATTACCAATGATAAACCTGAATAGATTGTTTTTGTGTTTGTAAATATTAAGACCAGAAATAGGCCTTATAGTTTCCTCCCTTATAGTTTCTCATTCTTTACACTTTTTATTGAGAGCCTACTGTGTGCCAAGCACTTTATTAAGTCGAGATGTATGTAGTAGAAATGGTTCCTTCTTGGCTTCATTTAGTTCACACTCAACAAAAAGGGAGATACATACAAAAATGAAAAATAGTCTGAGTAAAACCATACATACACTGTTAATAGTCTGTCCTCCAACAGCTGCTGCTTGAGAAAGTCTGAAAAGAAACTGGCCAACACTCACATACCTGAAAGTCCAATCTGATGCCCTAAAATGGTCGAGTACAGGTGGGTAACATTTCGAGAGTACCCCCCAAAGGGTTTGAGTGGGTCCAGGGTGAGGGTGATTGCAACTGAGATGTTAACCGGGCCTGAATCCTCCAGCGCCTGTGGGGACTGGGTGGACACTCTGGTCTGTGCACTGGTCATTGTGCTTTCGGGAGTTGTAGTGTCATTTGCAAGATGCTTTAATGTTTCATTCTCTGATACACACAAGTCCAAATCATTAAACCGCAGCAGAAAAGTATTCCAGTCCTTCAGTAAAATGAAACAGAAAGAAACAAATGTGAGTAGTCTGAAAGTGCTGCCACTGCAGCCAAACAGCCATGACCCTCAAGGTTGGATCACACAGTGTGACACCAACTTCACAGTCAATCATTTACAGTAACAGCGATAATAAAGCCACCAGCCTCTCGCACTGGTATAATAGTGTGGTTTTCCAAACCACTCTCATATTCATAATCTAAAATATGAACTTTTCACTGCATGAGATATTAAATAAGGTGTGGGATTAAATTAATTTATTCAAGCCCAGCTGGTGTGGTTCAGTGGATTGAGCATTGTCCCATGGACTGAGAGGTCTCAGTTGGATTCCTGGACAGGGCACATGTCCGGGTTGCAGGCTTGATCTCCAGTAAGCGGCATGAAGGAGGCAGCCGATTAATGTTTCTCTATCACATCGATGTTTCTCTCTCTCTAAAAAAATAAAAATAAAAACATATTTTTTAAAAAGTAACTTATTCAGCCCTGTCCGGTTTGGCTCAGCGGTTGGAGCGTCGGCCTGCGGTCCTGAGAGACCCGGGTTCGGTTCCCGCTAAGGGCATGTACCTCGGTTGCAGTTTGTCCCCGGCCCTGGTTGGTCGTGCGGGTGGCAGCCACTCGATGTGTCCCTTTCATATCGATGTTTCTCTCTCTCTCTCTCTTCCTCGCTCTCCCTCCCACTCTATCTGTACAGAAAAATGGAAAGATGTCCTCAGGTGAGGATGAAAAAAAAAAAAAGTAACTTATTCAAGAAATATGTAAGAAAACAAAAGAGTATATTATACTTACGGAAAATGATTTAACCTCAGAATCAAACATTAAAAGAAAGCTTAAACAAAAGTAAAACTTTAAAAGCATTAATCTAAACTCATTTAGCAGTTGTGATTAGTTACTTTTTAAAAATAAGGCTGCCTCAAAATAATTCCTCAAAAGGTCAATTTTATACACCTTGCTTTCTCTTTCCAGAATGTGAAATGCAGTAAATACCAATATTTGTGGGATTTTTCTCCCTCATCATGGACTTTGGATGCCACCTTAGAACAGGAACAATTTCCAAAAGGAGAAAACAAACGAGTTTTTAGGTTTCTCTTAATATCCACACCCTGTATTAATGGTTTAAATTATAAGCACTTATAAAAACATAGACAGCTTATTATGTCATGGTTAAACTGATACCAACACAGTAAAGTACCCACCAGGATTTATTTTAATTTTAGCAGATATAGCAACACCAAACCTAACCTAGGCTGTGACATTCTCCCAAGAAACATCTGTCTACAAAAAGTTGCCAAATGTGAAGACAAACCAATTTACACTTCCAATTACACTTAATTAAACACCATCTGAGCAATCCCCAAGCAGACAAGAGGGTCTACCTCTATAGCAACAGTAAATCAGTACATGGCATTTAGTAAGACTGCAATTAGGTGTATCAAATTACACCTTCCCTAACACCTACAAACTCAGCAGACCATTCAAGAACATTAGGGCTGAAAATGAACATTCTAGTGTCATTCCTTCATATTCCAGACACGAGGAAACCGAGGTCCAGCGCAAACTACGGACTCTCCAATTCCACAGCTGAAGGCAGAATTAGAATTAAGGTTTCTGACTCACAGCCCCAAACTTTTCCAATACACCTAGGATCCTCACTTGAAAACAAAATTATTAAGTCAATCATAGCCAGAGTTCTGCAGCACCTGGCAATGCTTTCCTGTACAGCTCCAGTCCATTTTGAACAGTCTGCCAAAGCCAATGTCAGGCCCCATTTTGATTTAAGGGCTAATTTTCCAGGCTACATCTTAACCACTGGCCTTGGCTGAGGATTCAACATGGACTCGAGCTCTGCGGGAAAGCAATGCCAAGATGCAACAGAGTTTGGGTTGTGACTAGAATGTTCATTTCATACGTAATGTAGGTACATTCTGTTTGCACAACCTTTAAAGATTCAGGCTGGGTGAGATAAGAGGGAAAATTAGCCACAGTATGTCTCTTGTAAGAAATGTTTTGAAAGGGTTTCATGGTGGTAACCCTTGTTACTTTAACTGTGTTAGGAAGTTCACATGTGAAGGTGGCTCCTCCTGCCCAGATCACCTATGATCTAGAATGCCACAGAGCACCAGAGAAAACCACCACCCCCTTTACACTGTCTCTCCACAAGGCACACCCAGTGCAGTAACAATGCAATTCCAGGCTCTACTCCCATCCACTCCCAAGAACATACACAAGAAAAGTATAAAAGAAGGCATTCAGGGAATCTACTAAGACAGGAACAAATCTGTCCTAAAAGAAACCTTATCCACGGCCCAGCTGGTATGGCTCAGTGGTTGAGCATCAACCCATGCACCAAGAAGTCACCAGTTCGATTCCCAGTCAGGGCACATGCCCAGGTTGCGGGCCAAATTCCCAGTGGGGGGCATGCAGGAGGCGGCCTATCAATGTTCTCTCTCATTGATGTTTTATCTCTCACTCCCTCTCCCTTCCTCTCTCTCTAAAATTCAATAAAGAAAAAAAAGAAACCTTATTCACCAGTAAATTCACCATATCATTAATTCAGCATAATTTCTAACATGTAAAACATTTATTAATAGGTAACACTGTCATTCACCTCTATTAAATAAGAATTTTTAATTTGTTTTCTGATATGTACAAATACATATCATTTTAAAACTGCAATATGAGTGTTCACACCATTAAGTGCCTAGATTAAGGATTAAAGTGCAGTGTACTAATAATTTATTTAAACTGACCAAAACGTAAAATCTAGAAGGCAAGTTTGTAGACAAGTGAAGTTTCCCTTGATTAAAAAAAAAAAGGGGACAAATATATTTGGAAATAAGATCCTGCCTTCTAATGTCTTTAGGATCCCTTCTTATCCAATGAAAAAAAGCTGTCTGTATAGCTGATAAAACTCCATGATGATGATATGGGCTTTAAAATAACAAACGTTTATAGTTTTTAAAAACTGCAATGAGCTAATTTCATATGAATATAAAGGAAGCTAGTTCTCTAGCTTCTTGACACAAACATTTTGCAAATATACTTTCCAAAATACCTGATTCATTGTTGAAGTAGTCTAACTGAAACTGGCAGCTTCATTTAAATCTATAACTATCCCACTAGAAAGGGAGATAAAGACAAAAAATTTTGAATATTGACCTTTCTCACTGGGATAAAAAGTGAACACAGAGCCCTGGCCAGTCTCGCTCAGTGGTACAGTGTCAGTCCACAGAACAGAGTCGCGGGTTTGATTCCGGTCAAGGGCACATACCTCAGTTGCTGTTCAGTCCCTGGCCCTGGTCGGGGTCATGTGGGAGGCAACTGATAGATGTGTTCTCACATCAATGTCTCTCTCTCTCTCTCTCTCTCTCTGTTTCTTCCCCACTCTATCTGAAGATAAAAATAGAAAAAAAAAAAGGATCCTCAGGTGAGGATTTAAAAAAAAGAAAGAAAGAAAAAAGTGAACAAAGAAAAGGGGGTGAAGAGCCCAAACGTGTTATTCCCCTCTATGAGGTCCAGTCAGCCTGAGAGAATTTAGAATATACTATACCTCTGCCATTTCCGGTGACTTAATCTCCTTGATTTTGAAGAAATAGCCCAAGGTCAGGAAAGCTATTGCCATAGCGCTTACACTGATCATAAAGACCACCAGGGGAGGCCGACTGCTGATGTACAGCTTCAGGTTCTCCAGGGGGTTGATGTTGAACATTATTCTGATCAGCTCCACCTGAAAGGAATTAATCAGAAGATACATGGACTGACTTGCCAAAAGAAAACCTATGATTCTCACTTTTTCCTTTCACAGTGTTGGGGGGTGAGGAGGTCACTCATTACTGAACTTGAGAAATAGTTGATCATAAATCTTCAAAAGACAAGCAAGAAAAAACACTAATTACTCATTGTCATCACTTCCAAATGGTAAGATCTTGAAAGATATGCATTCCCTAGGTTTAATCTTCTAAGTATTCTATAAAGAACATTTGTTACTTACATGTTATTTAAGGAAATGTTTAAGTGGGTCAGTAATGTGACACAAATACATGCCAACACATACAGAACTAAACTGAGGATGCTCTCATTTCCTACCATTGAAAGCTGAATACTATCTATTCAACATTCTGTCCTGTTCACTGTCAGCTGGGACTTTGACAGAGATAGCACTGAACCTGGGGAACAGCTTGAGCATACTACCATCTAATATTGTCTTCCAGTCCATGAACTTGAGATATCTTTCCATTTATTTAGGTTTTTAATTCATTTCAACAATGTTTTGTAGTTATCAAAGCATAAATGTGCACTTCTTTTGCTAAATGTATTTTGTTCTTCTTGGAATTGTTGAACATGTCCTATCTGAAGGCTTTTACCTCTGCTTCAAATGCCTTCACCAAACATTTCTACAAATGTCCTCCTTCTTAAAATGCAGGTCTCCACTCATATCTCCTCAGAGAGGCCTTCCCTGACCACCCTCAGCCCCTAGTCTCACAATACCCTGCTTTAGTTCCTTTACACAGTTTTGTGCCAGTCAAGAGTACAATTAACTTCCTGCTATTTACTGTCTCTCATCCCTCTTTTGTGAGCTCCAGAGCAGCCTACCCTGGCCCCTAGAACAATAGCTAGCACATCATGAGCACTTACATATATATATATATATATATATATATATATATATATATATATATATATGAGGAGACCACCATTTAAAATAGCAATTAGCCCTGGCCGGTTTGGCTCAGCGGTTAGAGCGTCGGCCTGCGGTCCTGAGAGACCCGGGTTCAGTTCCCGCTAAGGGCGCGTACCTCAGTTGCAGTTTGTCCCCGGCCCTGGTCGGTCGTGAGGGTGGCAGCCACTCGATGTGTTCCTTTCACATCGATGTTTCCCTCTCTCTCTCTTCCTCTCTCTCCCTCCCACTCTATCTGAACAAAAAAATGGAAAAATGTCCTCGGGTGAGAATAAAAAATAAATAAATAAATAAATAAATAAATAAATAAATAAATAAAAATAATAATAATAAAAAAGCAATGAAAAAAATCTGTACTAGCTTTTAAAATAAAGGAGAGAGAGATGCATCAACAGCCCCTAAGCCAGGCTGTTACAAATTTGTCCTTACAAGAGTCCTTGGAGATGGGAAAATAGCCCTTCTGCTCTCACCAGAGGCAACCCCAATTCTTAAATTGGCAAGTACCATTATCTATGCATGTTTTGTACACTTCTAGTAGATGTGTGTGTGTATATAGATATACATAAACAAATACAATTACTGATGTTGGAAAATATTATATACTACTTATACATTAAATATATATATATATATATATATATATCTCCTTGTGCTATTTTCACTCAATATAGTTTCTGAGATTAATCTGTTGATCTATCTAGATATGGTCCACTGAACTTACCTGCTGTACATTGTTCAATTGTATTACAGTTGAGTCAGCCTAGACTGAGGAGTCCTGCTAGGTTCTTCCCACTGTCTCACTCCCAAAGGGCACTGCAGCAGGCACAAGAGTGGTTCTAGCACCACTAGGTCACAGGGCAGGGCCATCTACATTCATCAGACTGCTCTCCAAGGAAGTTACACCAAAAACAAAAGGGGCTTGCCTTATTTCCCAATATTCGTGCCAACACTTAATATTTTGTGGATTTGGACAAGTGAAATGGTATCTAACCATTATTTTAAATTGCCTCTGCCTGAAACCAAAACAACGCGCCTCCCCCCCAACCCCCCAATATGAGGCTTATATTGCTTCTGTAAAATATTGCAAATAAGTGTGACAAATTATTCGGCATCCTGCTATTTCTGTAGCTGGACAACTTAGATCTTATTCATCAGCCTGCTGAACTGTTCCTCTTTCAGAAACATAGATACCATCCAAAAATTTTCTGCTATCCTTATTTTTAACTGTTGTGGCTTGCAGAATCAAAGCAGCTGAATTTGATAAAAGTTCAAAGTTGTTTCTTTTAAGAATCAACTCATCTTTCTGGGCTTGAGATACTGAACAAGCAATATTTGACCTCATCTAAACTCTGTGGATGTATTTTTCGCCTAAGAAAGTTCTGATTTCAACAAGAGAACCATTCTCCTGAATGACGCTGATGGGGAAATGAGCATACAGAGACCTCATCTTATAACAGAAGCCCACTGTTAACACCCTTGATCATGTTCTGCACATGACTGCAGATAGTGCAAACCGTGGCCAGTTCCCTTCTGCTTCCTTACCATTTGTCAACCTGGAGCCTCTTCTTTTTCTTTCCAGGGAGATTGAGTTCTACATTAATGAAATGAATTCCCTCCACAGGGTGCCTCAGGGGCCATTCATAGTAACCGTACATCCCTTCAGAGTGATGTCCATGTTTTCTGGGATGTCAACAGTCTGATTGCTAAGAATGGTCTTCATCCTCACAGTAGATGTGGCAAAGAGCAAACCAAACTTATCAGCTATTCAGATGCCTTTTTAGGTAAACTGCCTGAATCTTTGGCCATTTGCTAGTAAGATGTCTGTCAATTTCTTATTAATGCTTAGGATTTCCTTTTATATTCTGGATACTGAGCCTTCAACTTCATATGTTATATTACTCCTCATCTGTGGATTTTCTTTAATATGGTTTATGGTATATTTTGCCATATGAAAGGGTCTTGATTTTTTTAAAACAGCTTTATCAAGATCTAATTCACATACCATACCATTCACCCATTTAAAGTACACAATTCACAGAACTGGACAAACCATCCACTATAACAAAATTTTACACTTTTTCATCATATCATAAAGAAACCCCATAGTAACTCCTTATTTCCCCTAGCTCTCAGGCAACCACTAATGTACTGTTTCTATAGATTTGCCTATTCTGGACATTTCAAATAAATGAAATCAGCCCTGGCCAGCTTTGCTCACTGGTGAGAGCACTGGCCCGCGGACTGAAGGTTTGCAGGTTCCATTCTTGGTCAAGGGCATGAACCTGCGTTGCAGGTTCAATCCCTGGGCCCAGTTGGGGTTGTGTGAGAGGCAACCAATCAATGTGTCTTTCTTACATCAATGTCCTTGTCTCTGTCTGTCTCTCTCTCCCTCCCTCCCTTCCACTCTATCTAAAAAAAAAAAAAAAATCAATGGAAGCTCTGGCCGGTTTGGCTCAGCAGAGCATTGGCCCGCGGACCAGAGAGTCCCCAGTTTGGTTCCCACTAAGGGCATGTATCTCAGTTGCAATTGTCCCCTGCCCGGTTGGGGTCATGTGAATGGCAACCACTCGATGTTTCTCTCTCTCTCTTCCTATCTGAAGATAAACGCAAAAATGTCTTCAGGTGAGGATTAAAAAAAAAAAAAAATCAATGGAAAAATATCCTCAGGTGAGGATTAACCAAAAAAAAGAAAAAAGAAATATAAAATGATCTTTTGTGACTTCTTTCATTTGGCATCATGTTTTCAAGATTCATCCATGTAGCATATATCAGTACGTTATTCCTTTTTATTGCCAAAAGTATTCTAATATAGAAATTTGTTTTTTTGTTTTTTTTTAATAAACATTGTTTATCCTTTTGTCAGTTGACAAACATTTGGGTTTCCACATTTTAGCTATTGTGGACATGTTTTCATTTGTATTGGTCATATACCTAGGAGTGGTAACTATGTTTAACCTTTTTTAGGACCTACCAGACTATTTTCCAAAGCGACTGCCCCATTTTGCATTCTCATCAGCAGTGTAATGAGTATTCCAGTTTCTCCACAACTTCACCAACACTTGCTATTTTCCTTTTAATTATAACCATCCTAGAAGGCAGGGGGTGGTATCTCAGGGTAGTTTGATTTGCATTTCCTTGGCAGTTATAAGTTCTTCATTCTAACGTAAATTTATCAGTCTTTTCCTTTTATGATTACGTGTTTATTATTTAAGAATCTCTTCCCGTCTCTGTATGTCATAAACTTTGTTTCATTATTTTCCTCTACAAGTTTTATAGTTTTACTTTTAGCTTCTTACGTACTTGGAATTGATTTGAAAGTCCAGAATCAGGGAAGTTTCTGGTTTAATATTTTTTTATATAGGTGTCCAATTGTCTGCCATTTATTAAACTCAGTTTTGTATTGATCATGGATTTCCCATGGATTTGTAATGCCATCTCTCACATATACCAAGCTCCCATATACAAGTGGGTTTGCTTCTAGGCCTTTTCTAGCGTTCCATATGTCTCACGATACTTCAGTACCATGCTATCTACTATGAGAAGGGTTCCATTTTACTATTATTATTCAAAATGGTCTGGGCTATTCCTGGTCCTTTACTGGGCCATATGCATTTTAGGTTCCAATTGTAAAGTTCCCAGAAAAGTCCTATTGGATTTAATTTCAAATTGAACCAAACATACTATTAATTTAGGAAAGAAATTACATCTTTACAACTTGAGTTTCCAATTAAAAAACTGGCAAAGGGCTTTTCCATGCCAATAGCAATCTTGCAAACATGGTAAATGTTCCTAAAACCCAGCAGACTTTTTTTTTTTTAGAGAGAGAGGAAGAGGGAGAGAGGAAGAAACATAGATATGGGAGCTAGACATCGATTGGCTCCTGCATGATGCTCTTCCCCTCCCCCAATCCGTGGATCAAGCTCACAACCAGGGCATGTGTCCTGACCAGGAATCAAACCAGCAACCTCTGGGTGCACAGGATGATGCCCAACCAACTAAGCTACACTGGCCAGACTTTCTGTAAGAAGTGTGGCAAGCATCGACCTCACCAAGTAACAGAGCACAAGGTCAAGGATTCTCTGTAGGCTCAGAGAAAAGTGGCATTACGACAGGAAACAGAGTGGCTATGGTGGGCAGACTAAGCTGATTCTCTACAAAAAGGCTAAAACTGCTGAGGCTTGAATGCATTAAGCCCAACTGCAGATCTAAGAGAATGCTGGCTATTATACAGCCCTGGCCGGTTTGTCTCAGTGGTTAGAGCGTAGGCCTGTGGTCCCGAGAGACCTGGGTTTGGTTCCTGCTAAGGGCATGTACCTCAGTTGCAGTTTGTCCCTGGCCCTGGTTGGGTCGTGCAGCTGGCAGCCACTCGATGTGTCCCTTTCACGTTGATGTCTCTCTCTCTCTCTCTCTCTCTCTCCCTCCCTCCCTCCCACTCTATCTAAACAAAAAAATGGAAAAATGTCCTCAGGTGAGGATGAAAAAAAAAAAAGAGAGATGCAAACATTTTGAACTGGGAGGAGATAAGACAAGAAAAGGTCAAGTGAACCAGTTTTAAGCTTCATATTTTGTTTTATTATGTAATAACACAATCTTGAGGATATGTTTGCTTAAAAAAAATTGGACAGAGGACCTAAACGACATTTTTCCCAAGAAGACATACAGAAGCCCAACACATATATAAAAGGATGCAAATCAAAACCACAATGAGATACCACCTCACAACTTTTAGAATGGCTACTATTAATATGACAAGAAATAACAAGTGTTGGAAAGGATGTGGAGAAAAAGAACTCTCATACACTGTTGGTAGGAAGGTAGAATGGTATGGCCACTATGGAAAACAGTACAAAGGTTCCTCAAAATATTAAGAATAAAGTCACCATATGCCCCAACAATCCATCTTTGGGTATCTACCTGAAAAATTTTAAAACACTTATTTGTAAAAATATATGTACCCCTATGTTCACTGCAGCATATTCGCAATAGCTCAGGCATGAAAAAACCTAAATGTCCTTTGATAGATGATTGCATAAAGATGATGTGATACATATACACAATGTATTCTACTCAGCCACAAGAAAGGATGAAATACTGCCATTTGCAACAACATGGATGGATCTTCAGAGTACAGTTGGCCCTCGTTTATCGTGGTTAATCAGTTCCACACTCTACCGCAATAAATGAATTTCCACAAAGTAGGATTTTTTATTTATAGTATCATGCTAAGTGAAATAAGTGAGATGGAAAAGGACAAAAACCATATGATTTCATTCATATGTGGGATATAAAACAAAAAGCAACAAACTCACTCATAGACACAGACAATAATACGGTGGTTACCAGAGGAGAGGAGCATGGAGAGGCTGAAGAGGGTAAAGGGGATTAAATATCTGGTGATGGAAGGAAACTAGACTTGAAGTGGTACACACAAGGCAATATATAGATGATATATTATAGACTTGTACACTTGAAACTTATATAATGTTATTAACCAATGTACCTCAATAAATTTGATTTAAAAAAGAAAAAAGTTATAACTACATGTTGTGATAGACTTACTGTGATGATCATTTCCCAAAATATACAAATATCAAATCATTATTTGTACACCTGAAACTAGTGTATGTCAGTTATACCTCAATTAAACAAAAGATATTTAAGAAAACAAATCATGAGCAGTGATAAGATTGAATGAACACTAAAAGTTAATTATGAAGTCATATTATAACAACCAAACTCAGTTTAAAGATTGGAAGATTTTTTTCAAAACAGGACCTCTAACCAAACAGCACAAAAGTCCAACTGGCAAATGACAACACTTTGCAGGCTACCCTCACCAAAGGTTGTCATGTAGTCCCTAGGACTACACTCAGGTATGTAATTATACACAGAAAGAGAGGTAAAGCCCTGGCCAGTTTGGCTCAGCGGTTAGAGCGTCGGTCTGCGGTCCGGAGAAACCCGGGTTCGGTTCCCACTAGGGGCACGTTCTTCAGTTGCAGTTTGTCCCCGGCCCTGATTGGTCGTGCGGGTGACAGCCACTCGATGTGTCCCTTCACATCGATGTTTCTCTCTCTCTCTCCCTTCTTCTCTCTCCCTCCCACTCTATCTGTACAAAAAATGGAAAAATATCCTCGGGTGAGGATAAAAAAAAAAAAAAAGTAAAAGAAAGAGAGGTAAAGACCTCTTGTCAAATTTATTCAGTAAAGCCTGGCCGATGTGGCTCAGTGGTTAAGTGTCGACCCATGTACCAAGAGGTCACCAGCTCAATTCCCAGTCAGGGCACATGCCCAGGTTGTGGGTCCAATCCCCAGTGGGGTCATGCAGGAGGCGGCAAATTGACGTTCTCTCTCATTGATGTTTCTCTCTCTCCTCCTCACCCTTCCTCTCTCTAAAACCAATAAAAGAAAAACATTTTTTTCTTAATTTATTCTTTATGTACCTGGGAAAGATCATTTGAGGATTTCTATGTCTGTAAAAATAAATCCTAAATGGAAATTCAATTTGCTAAAAACTCTATCTTTCCTTTTTCTTTTTTTCATTTTAATCGAAATGTCATAGTGAAAAAAATTAAAATTTTAAAAGCCTTCTTACATGGCAATGGAATTCTGTGATATGCTAATGTTGGCAAAAACATCCCAAAGATCTAGCATCCCTGGACTGTCATACCGTGTCAGGAGATAAAGAAGTGGGTCAGGAATAAACAGTCAAAAAGAAGCATTAAAAAGTTAAGAGGGTGAAGTGCAGAGCATGTTTAAAGAAAAGCTAAGGATGTGGGGTATGTATACAATTCAGCCGTAAAAAGGAATGAAATCTTGCCATTTGCAATACCAAAAAGGTCCCTAATGGGATTATGCTAAGTGAAAAATAGTCAGACAAGGACAAATACCATATCTCACTTACATGTAGAATCTAAAACAAAACCCTTCCTCAAAGCAAAAAACAAGCTCTTAGATACAGAGAATATATTGGTAGTAGCCAGAGGTAGGGGGACAAGGGTGCTGAAAGGGGTGAAGGGAATCAAAAGGTACCAACTTCCAGTTATAAAATAAGTCATGAGGATGTCATGTACAGCATGGTGACTATAGTTAATACTACTATATTGCATATTTGAAAGTTGCTAAGAGAGTTTGCCTTATAAGAAAAAAAAATCTATAACTGTATGGTGACGGATGTTAACTAGACTTGTGGTGATCACTGTGCAATACATACAAATATTGAATCATTATGATATACACCTGAAATTAATATAATGTTGTATGTCAATTATATCTCAAGGGAAAAAAGGCTATGGTTGAAGCCAGTGAGGTCCTGACTAGTCATGATGTTCCAGAGCAAATACAAGGCATCCTATTTCAGTGGCTTCAAAGGTTTCTTCAACAATGTTGGTAAGAGAAACAAACAGCATCTCTATGAAATGAAATGGATGTCATTAAAAACACTCAGAAAATGGCTAGAGAGCTTGACATTTATCACTTGGTTGTAGCCATAGTAGCAAAGCTGTGCTTAGAACTAAACAGAGGCTCTGAAATACCTCACAGACAGAAAATTTAATTTGCTGAGTGTTAATACCAAACAGGAATTACAATCAACATCTTTTTCATTGTCCTTAAAATAAATTAGGCATTGATTTATGTAACTGGCTGACTAAAAGAACAAGACAAACTCATCAAATGGAAAACAACTCTTTAGAACCCAGCTGTCCACGAAAAGCCAGACTGGGTAGCCTATGCCTTTTTTTCTCCCTGTCTTAGAAAAGCATTTAACCCTTAACCAGCTGCCTCTGTCAATATTTCTAGACACCACTGCAGAGGTAACTAATCTGGGTGCTGTTCCACGAACTAGCCCTAGCCTTTTCCCTTTCCAGCTAATTCTGAATGACCCAAATCCCCCTGATCCTTTGAGGTCCATCTCAAAAGTCACTTTCTTTATGAGACCTTTTCTGATCGTAACCATAACAAAATCCCTAACAGTTGGTAACTGCACATGCAATTAAGTCCTGTCACCTTCTATAGCCTACTTCCTTCTCTGAGTAAGTTCTTCGGGGGCAGAAACTACACTTGTACTTAGGTCTGTTTCTCTTGCCTGGGGCAGCTGCAGCTAGAGCCCAAATGGAGAAGGTGTGCTCAATGGGCATTTGGTGATCTCAGCACCCAGAAGTGGGTGGCAGCCCTGATTCCAGTCCCCCTCACTTAGGCCACAGAAATTCTTCCTACACCTTTACTAAGAAGTCAACACACTGCCTTCTTACTCCTAGACAGGAAATACACTCGGAGTTAAGAAGTAAATATCTCAATTGCACAACAGGTCTATTTCCCTTCAGAATCCTTAGATGAGATGAGGAGGCAGGAAGGTGCTCTTACCGGTCAAGCACTGACGGAGCCTTCATCTAGAGCGGGATACAAATGCTCAGCCCCCACGCTGACCCAAAAGAGTACAACAGGGACAAACAGATTTATCAAATATTCATGGGCAGCCTTGGAGTTTTTCTTCCCTCCACCTCCCACCGCGGCTCACCTATGAGGCAGGAAAGCAGCAGTTCAGGAGCCACAAGCTCTCCTTGACAAAGCAGCTCATCCTCCATCCCGCAGGCAGGGCTGTAATCTGCTAGCTGGGAACTAAACTACAGACATCTGATTCTTCGGCGAGGGCCCCCTCACCAGCTGTCCACCGGTTATGGTTATTCACACAATTCACAACAGGCCCAGTTTTATTCCTGACGGTGCCCATCCAGGGAACTAGAACTAAATGCCTCTGGACTACCGCGAAGCCATGCCTGCATCTATTTTAGGGAAAACATACGTGTAGACAATAATCCACTCGACTCTGAACGTTGACCAAGCTTGACACGTAACACTGCTTCATGCTAAGTTTCCGCGGAGACGCGGACCTCCACCTCCCCTCTTCTTTCTGAGATGGACAGAATTTGCGAACGCAGAAGGAACACAGACACTACCCTAAGCCAAACAATGGCAAACTCCCAAAATGCTCCCCAGGCCAAATCCAAACAGTCCAAGCCGCAGCCCCGTACGTGGGAAGTCCGGCCACCTCGAAGGCGGGCAGGGCCCCTAGCTCCCGGGTGCGGGTGGACAGTCCGGCGGCCGGCGAGCAGGCCGAGGCCCCGCGCAGGGCTCACTCGGGATGACCCCCGCCCCACCCCCACCCTACCCTACCCCACCCCCACCCCCACCCCCACCCGCCGGGGCGGGGGCTGCAGCCCGGAAAGGCGAACAGAAACCCGGCCGAAGCGCCGCCCCCTGCCGGCCCGCGCGGCCGCTCACCTCGCCCCGTCGGGCAGCGGCGCGCCCCGGGCCCAGCCCGGCCAGCTGCTGGGCGGACGCCCGTGGCCGCTCCGCGCTCACTCGCGGCGGGGAGCGGCGGGCCCGGGGCCGCTCGGCACCATCCTCCCGCCGCTCCGGGAGCAGTGTCCGGCTCCGCGGGGCCCACGCGAAGACCAGAGGGCAGTCCGGCTACCGCAGCCGCGACACGGGCTAGTCGGGGTCCCGCAACCGCGGTTTCCGGGTAGAAAAAAATGCCACGGCCAACGATGCCGTGACCTCCGACACCGGGCGTCCGACGGCGGCGCGGCCGGGACAAGATTCCTTGGCTGTGGGCGGCGGAGACCACGCCTCCGGACTGGGTCCTGTGTGGGGCTTGTGTGTGGATACGTGGGCTACGCGCACGCAGGCGAGGAGTGTGTGACGTACGCGTGTGTGTCTGCGGCCTTGTGCGAGTGTGCGTGCGTGGTGCACGGACGTGGGTCCTTTTATGGGTCTGTGCACGTGTTTCGTGTGTTGTACGTGATGGGTGGGAATGTACGGTGTGTGCATGCGTGGCTGTGTTTCTGCGCTCGTGGACTAACCGCTGCTGATAAAAGTATAATTTGGTACTGTCACTTTGTCAAATAATTTGGCATTACAGTACCCGGTAAAGTTGACATTCTGCTTCCTCCTTGGGGAATATATTACCCTGGAGAAACCCATGGATAGCTGCACAAGTAGACCTAACAATGTTTATAGCACCATACAGTAAAATGTAAAAACAGACGTTGGTATATTCATATGTAATCAAATAGCAAAGAGCAGTGAAAATTATTGAAAACAGCTGACACAACAAGGGGGCTGGACTTCAGGACAATGTGCTGGGGAAGCAAATCACAAGAAAGATACATGACATTATAATCCCATCATATAAAAGTCCAAAGATGCTAATTGAATCTTATTCTTAGGGATACGCACATAAGTGGTAGGACTTTGACAAAAAGCATAAGAAAAAGATGCACAAACTTCATGTTAAGTGTTAAGAGGATGGAATGGGGGAAGAGCACACAGGGGTACTTCAAATATCATGGAAATGTTCATCTTTAAAAGGAGAGGGGTACACAGTTATTGAATTGATATTGATTATATTTTATATGTAACTTACAAATATTTTGTATCTACTAAATACTTAATAAAAACAAAAAATACACAATGATTCACCATTGAACTAGGAAGTTGTTGAGTGTAGGGAAGGAAGAAGGCCTATTGCATCACAAAGGCAGTAGAAGTTGCTAAGTATCTAAAATAGGTCAAATCTAAGTGATGTTGATATGAGTCCTGAAGGGGAATGATGGTAGACCCCACCCCACCCCACTCCCACTCCTTCCCCCACCCCAACCCCACCAGCACCCCCTTCCCCAAGATATATCTTATTTTTTTGTGTTTTTTTTTTCTTTATTGATTTTAGAAAGAGAGGAAGAAGAAGAAAAAGATAGAAACACCGCCCTGGCCAGTATGGCTCAGCGGTTACAGTGTTGACCTGCGGACCAGAGAGGCTGGGGTTTGGTTCCCACTAAGGGCATGTACCTTGGTTGCAGTTTGTCCCCGCTCTGTTTGGGATTGTGTGGGTGGCAACCAGTTGATGTGTCTCTCTCATATCCATGTTTCTCTCTTTCTTCCCCCTCTCTCCCTCCCATTCTATCTGAAGATAAATGCAAAAAAATGTCTTCTGGTGAGGATTAAAAAAAAAAAAGATAGAAACATCAATTGGCCACCTCCTGCATGCCCCCCACTGGGGATTGGGCCCCCAACCTGGGCCTGTCTGTGCCCTGACCGGGAATTGAACCAGCAATCTCTTGGTGCTTGGGTCGATGCTCAACCACTGAGCCACACTGGCTGGGCCCCAAGATATGTCTTTTAACAAGATATTAATAGCTTTCAGCTGGCTTTCAAAAGAAGCTCCTTAACTTCTAGTAGAAAGTAATTATACCAAAGACAAAACTATCCTCAAGATCATACCCTCAATCTTGCAGTTATTAAAACAATTCAAATTATAGGTGGAGGCTTTGATAAGCATGTCAATGCAAGTAGTGAACACTGCCAGTAGCCAGGAGTAATTTAAATGCATATTTATAGTTTGGTGAATATAGATTAAATTTAAACTTGACCTGGGACAATAAAGAGCAACATGGTGGGTCATTATGTCAGAATAAATATATGATGTCATCAGTTAGAAATATGTTTTGTCAATTCCGTGCTTCAAAGTCCAAGCAGAAAATATATTTTAACTCCAGTATTTTTATACACAATGTCATTTTTCTAAAAATCTGTTATTAAAGCAATAAATGTCTTATACTCAATTAAATATTAGAATCAACAAATACCTACTGTGCTCTGGCTGGGTGGCTCAGTTAGTTGGAGTGTCGACCTGTACACCAAAAGGTTTTGGGTTTGATTCCTGATCAGGGCACATACCTAGGTTGTGGATTCGATCCCTGGCCAGGAGGCAACTGATTGATGTTTCTCTCTCACATCGATGTCTCTCTCTCTCTCTCTCTCTCTCCCTCCCTCACTCTGTCTCTCTCAAATCAATAAAAACATATCCTTGGATGAGGATAAATAAATAAATACTTGGCACTTCCAGTCAAGATGGCAGAGTAGGTAAATTTTGTGCTTGCTTCCTCCTATGACCACGTCAAAATTACATAACATTCATCATTGAGAACCACCAGAAGACTAGCTAAACAGAATTCCTATAACTAAAGATATAAAGAAGCCATGTGAACACTGGTAGGAGGGGCAGAGATACAGAATGGGCAAGTTCCACAGACACAGTATGGCGATTAAGAATCGGGAGGGATATCTCAGCTGTGGAGGTCTTCCCTGAGGAACGAGGATCCCAGTGCCAACTGGACTCCCCAGTCCGGGGCATCAGTGTAAGGATTTACAAGAAAGTTAATTTAATAATTTGTGGCCCCATATTTGGATTTTTATAGCATGAGGTCTGAAGCTGCCTACAGAGCATCACTTTGCCCTGCTGGGCTCCAGCACAGCCTGCACAACCAGCAGCCCCCCTTTGCTGATTGTCCTGTTGGATCAATTGTACTCCTTGCATCTTTAAATAATACTGCCTATACTATTTATAGGCAGTATTATTTATAATAATATAAATAATAATATTTATAATAATACTATGATTAGGTGATCAAAGACAGCCTTTTTGTTAAACAGCCCTCAGATGAAACTAGGACTTGATAAATACTTAATCATATATTACCCATTGTTCTCACCTCACAACCCCACTTGCTTGATCACTGAGTCAGCGAACAATTAAAGTCCAGTTGCCCCCACCAATCAGAAAACAAATGGTGTAAGTTTATGGTCTCGTTTCCCCTAGCAACTCTTCTTTGATCAACAGTTCCTTGCAGCTTTTGCCTTTGTAAACCATGCTCTTTCCGGAACTGTATTCTCAGTTCATACTGAGTGCTACATTTCCCAGTTTGCAAATTATTATCTGAATAAACTTTCTCTACATTTCTCTTACAAAGAGCATCTTTGGACTTTTGTTTACGAGTGCCGGGAAAAGACATCCCCATAACATCTGGTTGTGAAAGCCAGACAGACCTGGATCCAAGTGAGATGGAGAAGGCTGCTGGATCCCCAGGCCTTCTTGTTGGGAGACCTAGGCACGAACTCACTTGCTCACAAACTCAGTTGCTCTGAGTTCCAGCGCAGGGGCAGCATCTCAAAAAGCTCCAGTGGCAAACGGGGAGGAACTAAATTGACTAACTTCAGGACGACTGCTGGAGGAGCAGAGGTAGGGGCAACTCTCTTTGCGGGCGGGGAGAATTGGCAGGTGCCACTGCTCCCACCTACTCTCCACTAACCTGGCTAACACCTTTAGCCCAACCCTGGTGATCCCCTCAGTCCCTGCCTCACCCAACTTCCTCTGCCCTCAGACCAACCTCTTCTAGCTGTCCCTCCACCACACTGGCCTGCCTCAGCTCATGCTGTGAACGTTCCCAAAATCTCTCAAGGGCCACAAGCCCCAAACAAGCAGCAGCCAGCCTCATCATGCCTTGTAGCTCTTGCTAAGCAGCCCCAAGCCCTACATAAGTGGTGACCAGTCTTCACCTGGAACACAGCTTCAACTAAGTAGCCATAAGTCCAGCACAAGTGGTGGCTGGTTTCAGGTCACATCACAGTGCCCAGTAAAGGGTCCCAAGCCAGACATAAGTGCCAGCCGACCTCAGTTCACAGTGTAGCTTCTCCCAAGTACCTCCTAGCCCAGCATATGCAGCAATCAACAGCATATCACCTCAAGCCTGGCACAAGCAGACCCTGAACTAGGCCTGTACCAAAGCCTCTCCCAAGAGGCTCTAAACCCAACACACCTGGTGGCCAGCTTCAGACCACAGAAGAGCACCACCCAACCAGCTCCACAAGTGACATACCCAAAGGGTAGACTTGGTTGGAAGCAGAGCCCCACTAAAGCAATCCCTGATCCATGGGATCAGCCCCTGGACAACAACTCATCCACTCTAGTCATGGCCAGCCCTCACAACCAGTCAGCCTGAGGGTCAACACCACCCATTGACATGCCAACAGCAACCGAGGCACAACTACAACAGAGGGGCACACACAGGGGACACTCCTAGAGCATCTAGCTCAGGTAACTGGGAAGATTACATTACTGGGTCCCACTGGACACCTTCTATATAGTCCACTCTGTCAAAACTAGAGAC